GGAGAAAAGGTGGCGGAACTCAAACCTGGCCACGCCCTCATCAAACCCTAGGACCGCCCCTTTAGAGAACAGGAATGCAAGTAAAATTTGGGAGGGGCTATTTCTGGTGTGGGAGGGGCTATTTCCGGTGCGGCCGGCCCGGAAAAAGGTGCCGGAACGCGGTTCCGCCGCGTTCCGGCTGAAAAAAAGCCCTGGTCCTATGAGAGTTTTGAAAAATTAATGCATTCTGATGGTTGTTGTTTTTAAACTAGATGATCAGCCGCCTAAACCTAAAGCTTGGATGGATGTGAAAGTCCAGCCCAGTAGCGAACCAGTAATATTGAATGGCTCAGAAAGTACTGATGATAATGGAATTGTGAATTATGAATGGAGTCTTCTTTCTGGTGATTCCTCGGTGGTAATGCAGGTAAGTCTACTACTAAGATTCCCTTCCGTAGCACTTTTAAAATCTCCATTTAATCCATATGGATTATAAGAAAAAAAAATTAAACTTCACATTGTTATTAAGATAGCATAGAGATTATTATTAATAGGATAGCATAGAGATTATAAAATACTTGAAGATTTTTTTTAATTCCTTGGAATTAGCATGGCCATTTAGGAGAGAATGTGATACACTTGACTTTTTTTCTCTGATAATACATTCCATCCATCTAACACAGGGGTAGTCAACCTTGGCTCTTTTATGACTCGTGGACTTCAACTCCCAGAATTCCTGAGCCAGCTAAGCTGGCTCAGGAATTCTGGGAATTGAAGTCCACGAGTCATAAAAAAGCCAAGGTTGACTACCCCTGATCTAACAGGTAAAGCTATCTTTATTCCTCCAGATCCTTTTGGACCTTTCAGTAGGATCTGCTGAAATTCCTTGCTGGTTTCTCATATCATATACATCAGGGGTGTCAAATTGCTGGCCCGCCTGCTGGATGCATCATGCCGAAACCGCACCCATCCCATTGCCGGCAATGGAAAAAAAGTCGCGATACGTCGTAACACGTCACATGACGTTGCGAGTTTGACATCCCTGATATACATTTTTGTGACTTAACAAATATGGCTAGCTTTTCACCATTTTAATTTTGCTCCCTTGCTTTGAACCCATTCAAGAATGTAGGTGTCCATTGATGATCTTTTTATAGACTGGCTAATTTAGTTGAAGTTGTTTGTAAACATTATCAATGTCATTATCATGACCACTATGGGATTAAATAATGGATTATTTCTGTTTTCAGTTGGAGTCTGGTAGTTCTGAAAAGATCAACTTTTAAAAGTTGTAAAGATGATTTAATGTAGCTATCAAATCTAATCTAAATACAGATTCTTATTTCTGGGAGTTCATGAATAGAACAATACAATGTGTGTAACATGAAGACGTCTCACATCACTGAAACACATGAAGACTAATGCACGAATAATTTATTATAATTTTACTGGGCATTTCCATCCATCTGGCAAGTGCTCTCCATCAAAGCAGTGCTTTTGTCCCTCTTCCAGCAAGTATATACTAAGCAAGTATATTATATAACTGGGAGAGGTACAAAGTACAAAGATGGGATGAGGAATAAGATAGTTCTTAGTTTCGTTTCATTCATTCATTCATTCATTCATTCATTCATTCATTCAAAAGCAAATATCTTATTCAAGTGCTCGCCTAGGCTGTGCAAATCAAGGACATCAAATCTATATACATAAAAACATTAGAGCAATTTTTTTTAAAAAAATTACTCATTTCTAAATCTATATACTTTGGAGATCTTTTATACTTAGTTGCTGCATGTTATGAACAATATGTTTAATCACGATAGGTGTGTTGAGGTTTTTTTAAAGCTGATTTAGTACATTGCTTTTGAATGTTATGGTTTTGTTATATTCCTTTGTGAATGATTTTTAGATTATTAGCTTAAAAAACTACAAAATAACAATTTAGTAATGCTTTAATTTATTCTTCTAACTTGAATATTGAGAATGTGTCACTACAAAGACTGCTCTTCTGTTGTTTTGTACTGTATGGTAGTAGAGCTTGTTTTATGATTAAGACAATTTAGAAGAAAGAAAAAACAGTCACAGGTATTTGATAAGCTATGAAATAGCCCATTTCCTAAATGTTAGCTAGAGGAAAAATGCCATTTTATTTAACTTCTGTTGGATTGCAAATTGTTTGGTAACTGAGAGTTTGTAACATTGCGTGGTATAGAGACAAATAACATGAGATTCATGAACCATTGCACAACCTAAACGATTCTAAAGCATCTACATAATTCTGGGGATATGCTACAAAGAATTCTGAATTTAGCAACTCCTTATATTTATACATGATGGGACTGTATAATATGATAAGCAACCCCAGAGTTGCTTAGATAAACTCTAAAGTGAGGGAAACAAAAGACCTGTTTTGCTTAGGTCATTTTTATTTCTGATTTTTTTCTTGTATCTTCAGAAAGAGAACAATAGTATGATGCTTTTGAATCTGAAGGAGGGGATTTATATCTTCCAATTCACCGTAACAGATACTGCGGATCAGCAAAACTCCATCAACATCACTGTCACTGTACTTGATGCTGATCAGACTGTAGGTAAGTCATTTGTAGATGCAGCTTTTAGCCTGGAATCGAGACGTGTCAGTTTAGCATTTATAGATTGCCAAGAAACATTCAAGAGTCATATAGAACAGGGGTCCCCAACCTGTGGGCCGCAGCCTATTGGCCACTGGGTGGTGTGAATGGCTGGTCGGTACGTGCATGTGTGTGTGCGCGCACAGCCCCACTCATGCAAGTGTTGCCACAAGCATCACAGGTGATTGTGGCCCCACTCGCGCGAGCGTCACTGCAGGTGTTTGCGGCCCAATTAGCACAAGCATCGCTGTGAGCATCGTCGCGGGTGTTCGTGGACCCACTCGCATGAGCATCGCTACAAGTATCATTGCAGGCGTTCACGGCCCCACTTGCACAAGCAATGGGTATTCGTGCGCACATATGCGTTCACCCCTCCCACAAAGCCATCCCTTCTTTCCCCCCTCACTCTGCTCTGGGCTGCCAACCCCACAAGGTTGGGGAACTATGATAGAGTGCAACTATGGAGATGATAAAAGTGAGCTTTTATGAAGCATAGTAAACTTTTCCTTTTTTAAAAAAAGTTAATACTTTTCTTAGCTTTTCAATGTTTTAGTAACACAAGAAAAATCTACAGGTGGCCACAAAGATATTCACAGTTTTAATAATGTTATTGCTGGTTTCTGGTCCCAATAACATTTTACTAAAAATCGGTGCCATAGATTACCATCATTTTGAAGAAGAAAATATGTAGACTGTACATTAATCCCTAAAATATGCTTAATGCCATTTTTAAAAAGCCTAAAACAGTGGTGGCGAACCTATGGCACCGATGCCAGAGTGGCACTCAGAGCCCTCTCTTGTGGGCACGCGTGCCATGCCCTGGAGATGGCAACTGTCCTTCTTCAACCAACCGCTTGCTAATTCGCCGAGGTCCCACGTGGCCGGATGCATCCCAGCACGGCTGGTTTCCCTCCCCCCCGTCCCGTCCCTCCTGGCCTCACATGCTCTCCTTTTCTCGGGCACGACCCACTGCATCGCCTCCTCAACTGTCGGCCGACCATCCAGCTCAGAGGCGGCTTCTTTGAATTGCTGGTGGCGGGCTGCGGAGCCCCAAAGTGTGCCGGTCGAGGGGCCAGCAGGCTGCTGATGGACACTGTCAGTGCCCATGTGCTCACTGGCCTCTGAGTGCGGGGGCCGATGGTGTCAGGGAGCAGCCACCCCGGCCCTTGCCTTGCCCCATGGCAATGGCAACCCCGCCCTGCCTCGCCTCACCCCACAGGACGAGCCTCCTGCCTACCGCTCCACCTGCCAGAGACCCCCTGGATCTCCCCCAACCCTGCCCACCCCCCACAGGCGTCCCTCCCCACGAGCAACATTAATGTGACCATGCCTACCTTGGCCACACCCACCCAATCTGCTATGACCACCATAGCCATGCACACCCAGTCGGCCACGCACACCTGGCACCCGGCGATAAATAAGTGGGTTTTGGGTTGCAGTTTGGGCACTCGGTCTCTAAAAGGTTCGCCATCACTGGTCCAAAACATTCTGTTTCCCTAAAATATGGGATTTGCAAAGGTTGGTAGATGTGAACAATTGCAGGCAGCACTCTACACAATAACTTATTAATGACTGCCAAAGACATAAGCGCTTGGAGCATCTGAGCTTCTCTTTCAGGAAACTATTCAATTATGCTGATACTGACAATGATGTATGTAATTCTTTCCTGCTTTGCTCTCTCTCCTTTCCTGACTCCAATGTAGCCACATATGGAATAGAGTTAGACAGGCAGATAAGCAAATAAATAGACAGATATGCTCTTGAAATAACGCAGATTGGAGTGGTATCTTAGTGCAGGAGCCTTTATACACAAAGAAAAATGCAATTATTCCTTAGAATTATTAAAGTTCCTCTCACCATCATTTTAAAAACAACAAAATGTTCTTCCTTGTTTTTTGCATGGAACCCATTACTTCTTTATTTATTTTATATTTGTAAGAAGAATATGAATATGTGTGTGCGTGCGTGTGTGTGTGTGTGTGTATACATATGTGTGTGTGTGTGTATTGTATACTATAGACTTTTTAACATTCTGCTGTAAGATAACATGAAGAGATTCCTAGGTGCGCTGACATCTTGTATTTGCTATTAAAATATATTTAGTGATTCTATTGGAAGAATAGTCCTTGACAACTACAGTACCTGCTCCCATCTTTCTTTCAACTGGCAACACTGTAAAATCTGGGAAAATAGACTAGATATAATTTATGCCTTCTCTTACCCTTACTGTGAGAATTCACCTTCCTTGTTCTTCCTAGATCATTGCCTGGCTCCTTATAAAGTGGGACGGTGCCGAGGTTCCTTCCATCGTTGGTACTACAATCCTGAAATCGAGCAGTGTCAACAGTTCATTTTTGGTGGCTGCAACGCCAACAAGAACAATTATGTCAGAAAAGAGGAATGTAATCTTGCCTGCAAGAAAGTGGAAGGTTTGTTTATTAGAAGATATTGTTTCTCTATTTTAGAGATTTAAGTGGGGAAACTTAATTAATTCAGAATTATTTTGAAACTACTGATTCTTATAACTTTCAGTCAAATTAAGCTGATTTGGCTGGTTTCATTCTAATGTTTTAATCATGATTTATTGAGTAAACCATAGTTTAATTGTTTAAATATTTCTTTTTAATTCGGCTTTTAATTATTGTATTTGTATTGTAGTTTTTATGAGGCTGTTAGCCGCCCTGAGTCCCATGAGGAGAAGGGCGGGGTATAAATTAAATTATAAAATAGTGCCCCAAATCACTCATAACAAAAAAAACCATGCTTTTCAATACATAGTTATTAGGTTCAGTTTGTGAACTCCGTTTGTATACATCTGAGTCAGGGAAACAGAAAAAGAGAGGCTTTTTATGGCTTGTGGGGCTAGAACCCACATAAATTCCCAATTAGCCAGGTTGGGGAAACAACTATTAACATCATTCAACATCTGGAGGGCATTATCAGGTTGAAGAAGGCTGAGCCAGGCTATGAAATCAGGGATACTTTGTCTTTATGCCAGTAGAGGGAAGCATATGATTGGCATTTGCCTGAATGACAAATATTGCCTCCATTGCGTTGCTATGTGTTACATAAATAATTTGAAGCGGCTTCTATACATATTAAGTGCATACCAGAAAAGTATATAAGGGACATGGTTTATAGTTTCTGGGCTGGCAATTCTCCAATCCCTTTTTTTTTTTTAAACTAAATTGGTAAGGTGGTTGGATTGAATGTTTCAATGAGAGCTATTTGAAAAACTGATTCTTGAAAGGACAGTACTTTACCCCCATTTCCTTCTTTTCAGGTGCTGTTGAAAAACGTCAAGAACCAAGTAAGTTCTTCTGTAGTTTTCCATGATAGCATCCAAACTTCTTGTGAACTACTTTAGTGACATGAGGCTTAGTGGAACATCTTTGATTGTTGGTTTCTTACTCTATGCTTTTGTAGCATTGCAGTGAAGCACTTGCCGGTACTTTTCTACAAGTACTACTCGACTTACATCCACAATTGAGCCCAAAATTTCTGTGGCTAAGTGAGACAGTTGTTAAGTGAGTTTTGCCCCATCTTATGAACTTTCTCACCACAGTCGTTAAGTGAATCACTGCAGTCGATAAGTTAGTAACAGAATTGTTAAGTGAATCTGGCTTCCTCTTAACTTTGCTTGTTAGACTCAGAAAAGATTCAATATGATCCTGGAGCACTGCAACCATCTTATATAAATAAAAATGTAAATGTTCGTTTGTTCAAAATCTTAAATCTCCGAAAGTTCTTCACCGATTGCTTTGAAATTTTGACACAATGTTGCATTCGAATATGCGCGTGTTTTTATATACATATACCTACTATTATATAGATGTCACACCTGTGACAGGTAAAAACATGCTTTTTTGGAAAAACAGCGCCATCTGTTGGACGTAAAAGCAACACACTTCTTTTCCATTTAACCAGACTGAGCCACAGCAACACATGGCTGGGAACAGCTAGTCATAAATATGAGAGTTGCCAAGCAACAGTCGCAAGTGTGAAAAACATGAATCACTTTTTTCAGTGCTGTTGTAATGGTCACTAAATGAACTGTTGGAAATCGAGGACTGCCTGTACTCTTATTTCTGCCATGCCCAAGGAAGAAAAACATCTTTTTACCTGAATGTCACAAAGATAAACCATCTTTGCTGAGAGCCCTTGAGAACTAACCTATGTTTCTCATACAGTGTGCAATGGAGATTGCCTGCCCTTCTATTTCAAATGTGAAGATGGCTGCTGCATTGACAAAGTTCTAGAATGTGACGAAACTCCAGATTGTCGAGATGGGTCAGATGAGAAATTTTGTGATTCGTGTAAGTTGGTCATCCTTGAACTGTCTGAGATTAATAAAAATAGAGATGGTATTGAAGGCCACTGAGTCCAACTGTGTTCACTACCACAAATTAAATTTAAGCATACCCCAAACATACGACTTACATTTTTCCGTTGAATTTTTGATGGGCATCTAAAGGCTATTGTGAGAATGCAGTTGGGCTGTTGTTGGATAGGCCTTTGGTCTGATCTGGTCTTTTGATTGTCCTGTGAGAAGATAATAGAGAAAGCTCTTGGGAAATTCAAAAAGGAAATTTTAGTACATAGTACGTTTCTATAGCCTGCATGTATGTATGTGTGTGTGTGTGTGTATGTATGTGTGTATATGTGTACATGTATATGTACACAAACGCACAAACACTTGAGATGTTTTAGGTTGAAGAGAAGCTGTAAGTAAGGCTCAGGTCTGAGATTGAAATAGGATTGTTTTTAGCTCAAAGCAAATCTGATAAGGTTGGAGAACTTCCTAAGACAGCGGTTCTCAACCTATGGGTCGCGACCCCATTTGGGGTCGATCGACCATTTCACGGGGGTCACCAAGCAAGGCTGTCCGCCATTTTTTCCCCCTTTTCCGGCGGGTGCCTTACCTCCCTTGAGCTGGGCCAGCTGGTGGTCGGCCTGCTCCGTCTCTGCCACTTGCCAGCTACGCCTCGGCCAGCGCAGGGGGCGGAACCATGCATGTGCGGCGCTCCCGGGCAGGGAAAGTCCTCGACGTACGACCGGTTGGGTAGTCCTCGACTTACGACCGGTTTAGTCCTCGACCTACAACCAGTTTAGTCCTCGACTTACGACCTGTTGGGGGTTGCGGCATTAAAAAGGTTGAGAACCACTGTTCTAAGAGGTCAGAATAGCTTATTTTGAATTTAAACAGCTGTTTTTAATGTGCATATAATTGCACCCCGCTGTCATGCATAGCTTTCTGTTCTAAGAAAAACTTAATCTGTTTATTATGCAAAACAAAAGTAGCAAATTAATGATCTGCAAAATAAAAGAGAATATTTACATTGGCATCATTTATTTTTATCACAAAACTTCTCTTTTCTTACATAGTCCTTGGATTGATTGGTCTCAAATATTGTTTAATATTGTTTTAAATTTTAGTGTTAACTATGCCTACTTAACACTAAATTAAAACATATTAGTAAACAAGGTTTACTAAGAAACAGAGGCAGAGTGGAATTTAAAAAAATGAGAAGACAAAAATGTTTTTAAAATATGTCACTTAGTTTATGACATACATCATAAGAATTATTTCCATTTTCAAATAAAAAGCCTGCCTGTAAGCATTCTGCATTCTGCTCTTTGTCTCTTTCAGATATTCAAGGATTCAATAAGTTACAGAAAATCAATATTACTGTCAGAAGTAAGTATATTATAAAATGCATGAAGGATTACACTTGAAACAAATTTTAACACATTTAAAAAATCTATGCTTGCTTCTTCCAAATATAATTGAAGTAGATGTCTGCATTCAGGTAGAATTTGAACTGGATTCTGTTAAAGAATTAACTATTCTGGGCATATTTGAGTATAATCTTGAATAACTTTATTATTGGGAAATGGTCACATCAACAAATATCCTCAGTTGGCTATTTCCAACAGTCAAGTGTTTTAAAGCATCTTTCTATAAACACAGATCTGCTTTAAGTAGCACTTGATTAAAGACAAAAAAAATGGTGGAACTGTAAAGTCAAATATAGTATAAACATGGGCATGTAGTAAATTTGCTTGTGGCAGTCTTGTGTAAGCTGCAGTAAGTAGAACTTGTTACAAAAGCATAATAACAATCCATGGTTACTGTTAAGCTTATACTCATTTTAGTTTAGCTTATACTCTAGAACAGGGGTGTCAAACTGCCAGCCCGCAGGCCGGACGCGTCACGAGGAAACCGCACCCACCCCATTGCCGGCAATGGGGAAAAAGCTCCGATACATCACGCGACGTCACATGACATTGCGAGTTTGACATGTCTGCTCTAGAAAAAGTACAGAGAAGAGCAACAAAGATGATTAGGGGATTGGAGGCTAAAACATATAAGGAACGGTTGCTGGAATTGGGTATGTCTAGTTTAACGAAAAGAAGGACAAGGGGGGACATAATAGCAGTTTTCCAATATCTCAGGGGCTGCCATAAAGAAGAGGGAGTCAGGCTATTTTCCAAAGCACCTGAAGGCAGGACAAGAAGCAACAGATGGAAACTAATCAAGGAGAGAAGCAACCTAGAACTAAGGAAAACTTCCTGACAGTTAGAACAATTAACCAGTGGAACAACCTGCCTCCAGAAGCAGTGAATGCTCCAACACTGGAAGTTTTAAAGAAGAGACTGGACAGCCATTTGTCCGAAATGGTATAGGGTTACCTGCCTGAGCAGGGGATTGGACTAGATGACCTCCAAGGTTCCTTCCAACTTTATTGTTGTTGTTGTTGTTGTTGGCTCTGTTAGTTGTAATCAGAATGTGTCCTGGCCAAGACTTCAGAAAGTCTGTGTGAAGTCTCAAGTGTTAATTCTGGTGTTAGAGAAGTCGTGAAGAAATGTCCATCTAGCACCTGGAAATGACTCGGTAGCCCTGAGACATTCCCTAGCCTCTTTTCTAGTTCATAAGCCCCAAAGGCCGTCTGGGGCTCATCATACTTGCCAGAGGGGAGTGCAGTGTTTGTCACATAAACACAGTGAATGAAAGCATGAAACCATGTCACTTTGTAATAGTGTTAATCATTATGTAAAGGTTTGCCTCAACTAGATCTCCCAAGAAAGTAGAACACTTGAAACGGGCATTGTTTCAAAAGGAACTTTTATTGAGAGTTAGTGATAGCAATAGAGCAAAGCAAAGTCTGAAAAATTTGCGCGCAAAAGGTTACATCATAATGCCCATTCAGGACTCCTCCCCCCAGTGTCCAACCATCCGATTGAAATCCAGCCAATCCACAGGTGCCAGGCTGTTTTGAGAGCCTGGTGATTTAGCGCCCATCTAAAGGTCTCTCTGGTTTTTGTTTCCCAATGGTCCCAGGCTCCGTTGTCTGGAGATAAAGCAGATGTTTTCAGGCCACATTCCTTTCACACAAAGGGAGGATGTTTCAGAGAGGACAGAGCAGAGCCAGGCAAATACATTTCCCAGGCAAGCAGCCCCACTCCCACCAGAATGACAGACCTTGGAAAGGAATACACAGGCAAAGCAATAATAAAGCAATAATATGCAGACAAATACATTGGAGGGGTTTGACACATTGTTATTATAATTTTTAAAATATTGGGTAAGTTGTATAAAAAGATGGAATGTTCCCTGAATGTTTGCTATTGGCCTTCATCCTGTAATGTTAGGGTTAGCTAACAGTTGCAAAAGAAAAATAACCATTATAACAATGGTGCAAGGTAAAGTATTTCACTAAACTGTAAATTTTAGAGTCACCAGGAGTCAAGCGGCATATAAATTTAATATGTTTATTATCATTACTACTTCTATTATAATTAGTACAGATAGTCCAGTGGTGGCGAACCTTTTAGAGACCGAGTGCCCAAACTGCAACCCAAAACCCACTTATGCATTGCCGAGTGGGCGTGGCCACTGAGTGGGCGTGGCCACCGAGCTGTTGGCTCATGCTCACTTGCTCGCTCGCTGTCCACTCCGACTTGTGCTCGCTCGCTCGCTGTCTGTAGCAAATCCTGCTTCCGCCAAAAGTTGTTCCTTTTATAGCCTCTCGCCTATTCCCAGACTGCGCATGTGCGGAGAGCTGCGCATGCGCAGAGAGGAGGAGGGAACAGCTCGGCCCAGCAATGGCTCGCATGCCACCAGAGACGGCTCTGTGTACTGCCTGTGGCATGCGTGCCATAGGTTCGCCACGACAGAGATAGTCCTTGACTTATGATGGCAATTGGGACTGGAACTTCTGTTGCTAAGCAGTGCGTTGTAAAGTGCAACCACATTGCTTACAACGGCGATTCCTGCATTCCTGGTTGCCATTGTTAACTGAATCCCATGGTCGTTGTTAAGGCAAGGGAACTTTCTGCTGTCTTACTACCACCAAAGTCAGTGGGGGAGCCAGTGGAAGCAGACAAAGGGCTGGTATTAGGTGAGGGAGAGTCTGAATGTATGTGCAGGAGTTTGGAGAGGGTGTACAAGGATGTGCAAGAGACCCGGGTCTGGAAGGATGCATAGATGAGTGCAAGAGGCATTGGTCGGGGAGGGTGTAAGGGGGTGCGTGACAGATGCGACATGTCAAAATGGGTGTCCAGGGGTGCACTATTGGTCAGCATGGTGCAAAGGCAGAGGGATTAGGGGAGGGTGCCCAGTGGGGGAGACTTTCCCCAATAGCTTGCTACCTACCCTGCCAACTTTCCCATTGACTTTCTGGGGAAGCCGGCAGAGAAGGTTACAGATGATGTTTGTATGATTGCAAGGTCAAAAGCAACCAGTCAAAAGTGTAAACCTGTTGTCAGGCACCCAAATCTCAGTCACTTGACTGGGACAACCAGAACTCCCAAGAACCGGTCCTAGCTCTCATTTGTTTAGCACCATTGTAACTTTGAAGCCAGTTGCTGAACAACTGGTTATAGGTCATAGGCCTACCTGTAATACATTTTAAGTTTTTTAAAAAAAAGCTAGCTGTGCTACATAGGCGGTAGACCAATTCTCTGAGTGGTAATGGCTTTATCAAATGTTTAATCATGATAGGTCAGTAGAATACAATTAATTAATAGCTAACAATATTCCTTGTTCCTTTCTGGTAGCTTATTGTTTGGATATGCCAGATACTGGACCGTGTGAAGGAAGTCTACTTCGCTGGTACTACAACCCTTTGACTGAGAAGTGTGGTCGCTTCACCTATGGAGGCTGTGAAGGCAACAAAAATAATTTTGAGCAGGAAGAAACATGTATGAAATTATGTAGAGGTGTCACAAGTAAGAAGAAAACCTTAAAGATTTTTTTTTTTAAATCATTGTAGTGGGACCTCTACAGCAGGGCTTTTCAATCTTTTCACCCATTGTACCACTTTTAGGATATGGCAACATCCGAGTACCACCAGTTGCCTAGCAAGGTGTCAAAAACTTGACCCCCCCCCCAAAAAAAGGAAAAAAGTGATGAAGTACAGATAGTCCTCGACTTACAACAGTTCGCTTAGTGACTGTTCGAAGTTACAATAACACTGAAAAAAGTGCCCCCCAAGCCACAGCCGAGCAAGACACCTGCCTGCCCGCTCGGCAGTGCTCTTCCTCCTGTCTGAGGTTTTCATTGTTGTGAGCATTTCTGTTGAGAATTGGCAGCAGGGGTGGGGGGAGGTGTTTGGTTTTTATTCCCCCTGTCTGCTGGGTGGTTGCAGCAGGTTTTGGTCACTTCACATGACCCTGGGACACTGTGACCATCATAAATATGAATCAGTTGCCAAGCATCTGAATGTAAATCATAAGACCCTGGAGATGCTGCAACATTCCAGCTGATCGGCGCTTCTTCTGGGCTCAGCAGAAGCACCAGGATCAGCGCAGAGCTCCAGCTGGAGCCTGGTGCTGATCCTGGTGCTTCCACTGAGCCCTGACAGCCCTGCAGCTCCAGCCATCTCTCACTCAGGCTTGTGCGGTGCTGCCACCGGTTCAGCTCATTCCCCTCCCCCACTACCACTTTTCTAGGATGGTCGTGTACCACCTGCCAGGTGCCAATGTACCACAGGTGGTACCCATACCACTGGTTGAAAAGCCCTGCTCTGCAGCACTCAGTAGTATTGTTGCTAGAGGCTGGTGCTTTATTTTGCAGCTTGCTAGTTTTTATTTAATTACATTAATAAAAAAAATTAAAGTCAAGTGGGCCAGGAGCCTAGTAAGACATCAGGAGAAATGATGTCTCCATTTTGACTTTCTCTAAAGCCCTCAAGACCTGGTGATCCTGTCAGGCATGGGGCTTTCAAGGGACGAGAGATCTGTCCTGTTGGCTCGACTGCTGAGGATGCCATTTTTATCTACCCAGGATTATTATTTTTGTTTTTATGATATTTATTACTGTGACCATTTAGAATTTATCGATTTTATATTGGCTGTTTTTAATTTATTGTTGTCTGCTGTCCAGAATAACATTGGAAGGAAATAAGTGGCTATATAAATTTGATTATTATGAGAACCAGTTTGGTGTAGTGGTGAAGGGAAGCTGGAGACTGTGAGTTGAAGTCCCGCCTTAGCCATGAAAGCCAGCTGGGTGACCTTGGCCAGTCTCACACACACACACACACACACACACACACACACACACACACACACACACACAGCCCAGCACACCTCACAGGGTGGTGGTTGTGGGGAAAATAGGAGGAGAAAGTGTGTTGGATGTGTTCGCCACCTTGAGTTACCTGTAAGAATAATAAAGGCGGGATACAAATAAATTAATAAAATAACTAATAAATAACCATATCTGGGCATAATGGCATCCTTGGCTCCCGTCCTGCCCTCCTGGGGATGGTTATGTAATAGTAACTTAACTATTAAGTAACTGCTAGTAACTTAATATTATCAGTACATTGTTGTTTCCATTATTCTGAACATTGTTACATAATCCTGTATTTTCTTTTAATACAGAGGAAGATATGATTGGGGAGAGATGGAGAGGATACGAATATCAACAAGCCAGTTTAAGTATGTAATGACATTCAAAATAACTCTTGAGTCCCTTTTCTTCTGCTTGTTACGATCTTTATTCTTAACAGCAACTTGCCTTACATTTTTGGGTGGTGGAAAGAAGTATGACGTACTTCTAAATAAAATGATTTATTTTATTGATAACAAAGTATATACCACAAAAAGAACAAAAACCATAGAAAATGGGAAAATAAGATGTTACAAAACTTGCACTTTTGCTCCCACAAAAAATACTGGCTTAAGAATTCTAATAACTTTCCCTGCCACCAGAGCATTTTTTTTTGTTTTGTTTTTGTGGTATAATTGGTATAATTTTGATACTAAAGTGCAGCAACGTTTAGAACCTGAATTAAGACTAGCATTTCCACTCCCGGTTTGTTCGTCAAAATCACGTCAGCAGGTATGCATATCTGAGAATGTTACATTATAATTATAGTTTTCTTTAAGGTGACCTAGAGTTGGATTTAGGCTGATCCTGTACTATCATCTTATAAGGAAGAGTCCTAGAAACATAAGTGTTTCCTTTGTTTCTGAATGGATTGGGAGCCTTCGTAAAGCAAAAATGTGTCTTGAATTTTTTGCATAAGAAAGCATTCCGACAATTTCAGTATAATCATGATTTCTCTCTCCATCTCCCACTCCTGCTCCACCTCTCATAGGTGCTTTTGAAGTGGCCATTGCTGTGCTCCTTGGTGTCTGCATCATGATAGTGTTGGTAGTCCTTGGTTACTTCTTCCTAAAGAATCGAAAAACTTACCGAAGACGTCGTCAGCCCCCTACTGTGGCTAATTCCACTCTTTCTTCTGTCTTATCAACTGCTGAAGACACAGAACACCTGGTATACAACAGCACCACAAAGCCCATCTGATTCTGTAAAATTATCCTCCATTTCTGGGAAGGACAGTGCTCCTAATGCTTGTGTGTGTGGGGGAGAGGATCTATTGAAGGATTTTTCCTTCCTTTTTCCATGTTTCCTTAGACTATCCATTAGCTGCTTACAAACTCTACCTGCCCTGATCCCGTGATAGTTTCTAAGGGCAAGGAGTGATCAGAAGATTAGCCTCCTCTGACAATACATTGACTTTTTTTGAGTTCATGTTTCCCTGAGTTCTATAATGAAGGTTATTTTAAGTGTAAGGACTTGCTATATCTATTGAAGGAGCCATAGTGAATGGGATTCTTCTTCCCACAAACCCACTGAACCCTACATTTCTTTGTCTTTGTGTGTGTGTGTGTGTGTGAGAGAGAGAGAGAGAGAGAGAGAGAGAGAGAGACAGACAGACAGACAGACAGACAGACAGACAGACAGAAACACATAGAACATTCCTTACTTCTTCCAATTTCTTTCTGTTTAAAACCTAATGCTGCCTTAAAGCCACTCTCCCTGTGTTTTAACTGGTACATAAAGTGATACAGTTTTTAAACTTGCATTTTGATGAAATATTTTGATGGACTAATTAAGTAGAAGTGGTGTCCTTTTCACAAATCTGTTAATGTCTATGCTGAGGCCTGAGCTCATCTCATCTATGCCAAATACCTAGATTAATGCTAAATGGAAAACAGGCAAATTGTGATTTGATCTGAATGCATGTAAGAGGAAATAGAAATTAGGTCATGACTGAAAATCTGGCTCTGCCTTTCCCTTCTGGATTTCCCCTCTGTTCCTACCTTCTAGTTATCATTTCTAGTTTAATGTTACAATACTGTTTTGAGTTCTTCATATCTATTTATTTTTAGAATCAAATTGTGACAGAAAAAGAGGTCATTCCTCATTTTATAATTTGCCTCCAACTATACAATCTCTTTAAGTAGTTAAATAATGTAATTACATAGGGACATTTTCAAAATTAGCTTTTCTTCAGAGCTAATTTTCACAAGATCCTTGGACAAAAGGAGAGGCGTGAAAGTTGGCAGACTCTGCTTCTTGCACAGCCATACTTAAATATAGAGAAAGCAGGTGTTGCCCACACTTTATAAAGATAGAATATAGGTTTGTCCCAATTTTCCACAAATAGGGTTATATGAAACATATAGGTTGATGCCTGTGATGTTTTCATTGACCTTCCTGTTTGTTGATGTAAGCTATTTTTATCCCTTTCCTATTCCTACTGTGACCTACACCCCAGTTTGAAAATTGATGTCTTACATTTTATGGCATCTGATAATTTACAGTTATGCCTGAGTTCTGAGTTCATTTTATGGATAGAGATGCCTGAAATAAATTCTCCATCTCTCTTCAAAAACTTCCTCAAAAAATAGTTAAATCAGGCTTCACCTCAATTTCTGCTCATTTGAGGATGCACGTCTCTAAGAAAACTCCCCCTGAATTGTACGTGTTTGCTTATGTGTGGAAGGAAGGCTGTTTCAATAAGGCAGTGTTTCTCAACCTTGACAATTTTAAGGCATGTGGACTTCAACTCCCAGAATTCCACAGCCAGCATTGCTGGCTGTGGAATTCTGGGAGTTGAAGTCCACATGCCTTAAAATTGTCAAGGTTGAGAAACACTGCAATAAGGGCTTATGCTTTGGGGTCATTAGGTGGATCACTCCCATCATTCTGGCAAGTTTACATGTGACTTCGAACATTTCTGAGGGCACTGAATCTTCCCAGGAGCTAAAGGGGAGGAAGTATTTCACAGCGGTGCAATACATGATAGATTGACCTGTAGTTGGCTTGTATTATAGTGGATTGCCCAGCTCTTGCCTGACCCTCTTGAGAATCCAATAGCAAAGCTGAATATTAGTTTTAAATCCAAATCTTGCTTTTGAATTTGAATCATCTTCCTCTCTGTCTATATAGCACAGAAGGTTAGCCTGTGAAGCCAGTGAGTATATACTCCTATCCATTCTGTATGAAGTTGTACATAACTTTTGGACATACTCTGTGATATGAATGAGGAGATAATTATTTTGTTTATTCTTTTTTTTGGGTAGATATTATGAGATTTTGTTTTATTGTTGTACTGTATATAAGGATTCTTTGCTTGGATGTAAATCTCTGCTGGCTGAGCTGAAGCGTCATCAGCAAAACGAACAGGAGAAATAATTATTAGGGAATTATCTGAAGAGAAGGCAGCTGTTTATTGCTCCAAGGGCCAAACCACCTCAAGTACGGAACTGGCTGAGCATCTGTGAGAAATTGCAAATTGGGGTGGGGAAGGAAATGACAGACCTGGTCATTGTGCCTTACAGGGAGGAGACAAGAGATTACTCATTGTGCTTTGCAGTTGGCCTGATTATTCCATGTTGATACAGTTGTCAACGCCACCTTTTCTGTACCTCTTCATTGCTTTCTGAGCCCTCAAATTCTCAATTTCCTCTCTGACAGTGAAATTTTTAATAAAATATTTTCTTTACAACTTGCTTGCCTGGTCAATTTTTTTCCCCAGTCCCAGGATATTCCTTGCCAGCTTGGGAAAGGCTTAGGATCTTGCTGATATCCCTGTGTTCAGAGAAAAGAAGATGCCCCAGATTTTTCATAATTCAAGAAACAAACCTTTAGTAACTCTATGGTACAATGGCATATCAACATCAATAGGTTGAAATTAGGCTTGAGAAACTGTGGGTTGGAGAGCATTTCCTGTACATTGGGACAAAATACTGAAGAAGGGAAGGGCACATGTGATTTCAGCTGGTTGGACTAGTTTGGAATTAGGAGCATAAGAAGCAGAAAGCATTCACTATTAATGAAATGGCTGTCCATAGATAATTATAATGCAAATTATATTAATCAGTGACCAGTGGGTAAAAAACTGACTCATTTTACTTCCATCATAAACATCCTTTAATATTTTTCCACTATCATTCTTTTTGAGGAATTCACCATGGTTTTAGGGCCTTGATGTTGTATTATAAACATGTAAGTCACAGTGCAATCTTATTTGGGTCTACTGAGAAGTAAGCACCATTTAATATAGCTTATTGTGATAATAAGAACCTGGCTGATTAGAACAAAAGTTGTATTTGGTCTATTCTTCTATTGTTGCAATGGCCAATCAGATATCTTTGAAAAACTACCAAAAAAAGACTGTAGAACTGTAGTTTACTCAACTAGTATAAAGTTGAATTTGAATAGGATTGCAGATTCTGCCTAATACAAACTTGTAGAGTTCTGAAACAATGGGAACTGACACAAACTATGGAGAAATAAAAGGAAAATATTAGTATGCTTGAGGGACTCCAGCGCCCCCCCCCCCCGCTCAGGTCCACAGAAGTTGAAACCAGAGCATTCAAAAAAGCAAATTTAATCAGAATTCTTTATCAGAATTCTTTATTGGTCAAGTGTGGTTGGACAAACAAGGAATTTGTCTCCAGTGCATCAGCTCTCAGACAGTGTACATACAAGTAATAGTGATAAATCATGATCATAAACAACATAAAAATACATTCATCATAAATTGTAAAATACAACACTTCATCATAAATCATAAGATGCAACACTTAGTGATAGTCATAGAATACTAGCTAAGCAAACAACATAAATCATACTAGGCTACTAAACAATATAAATTGTAAGATACAAGCAACAAAGTTACAGTCATAAGAAGGTAAGGATACGTAATAGGAAAGATGAGAATAATAGTAATACAGCTTGACAGTTTGACAGTGTTGTAGGAATTAGTTGTTAGGCAGAGTGACGGTGGGGGGGGGGGAAACTGTCCTTGTGTGTAGTCATTCTGGTGTGCAATGCCCTATAGCGTCATCTTGTGGGAGAAGTTGAAACAGTTTATGTCCAGGATGTGAGGGGTCTGTAGATATTTTCACAGCTCTTTCTTGCTCATGCAGTATACAGGTCCTCAGTGGAAGGCACGCTGGTAGCAATTGTTTTTTCTGCAGTTCTAACTATCCGTTGAAGTCTGTGTCTGTCTTGTTGGGTTGCAGTGCCAAACCAGACAGTTCTAGAGGTGCAGATGATGGAGTCAATCATTCCTTTGTAGAATTTCTGGCCTAATTTACAGCATTCTATCTTTAATGGGACAATAAACACAATGTCCTCCAAACACTCCACTGAGGACCAAATAAGTCAGCAGGAGTGAAATGTTGAATAACACTTGAAAAAAAGCAAGGGTGTGGACAGTGAGAGGGAACTTTAGTAGTAGAGAAACATTGAATTTTTTTGTTTCAGTGAAATGGTGAAATCCTGAACAAGAGCACTCCTCTGAGGAAGAAAAAGTATACTGCAATAATTTATATTGCTTTGTTTCAGGACTGTGTGAATTCCGCTTGGAAACAGTACAGAAATCAAGGCTAAAAAAGTGCTGTTTGACCCAATGACCAGTCCCAGGTTGTCAAGAGCTGAGTTGCCCTAAACAGGTCAAATTCTCCAAGTGTTACTAAGGATGAGGCAATGTTACTGTCAGTCTGTACAAAGAAGTAGAGGTTCAAATGTTCAAACAGGCCACAGAGTGTCACTAGTGGGCTGTGGTTCCTTAAGTTAAAAGTTACTAAAGAATTGCAGCACCTCAAAGACTAAACCAAATCCTTGTGGTACAAACAGTTGTGGATTGAATTCATTTTCATCGACCCCATCACTTTTTAACATTTCTTTAATAGATTTATATAGTTACCCATCTCAAATATCTGATTCTGGGTGGCTTATACATAAAACTCATAGTAGCCAAGGCAGTTCATGCATTTGCATGTCATACTACAATATTCCTTGACCCTTTGTAAATGAGATTAATTCAGTTTTCCTAGTAAAAATTGTTCTATTATTCTGTTATGTTGCCTGCTCAGACCTTGTTTCTCTTAAAAATGGACGAATAAGAACATACGTTGTGCCCTGCTGGATCAGAGTCCTGCCTATTTAGTCTAGCAGTCTGTTCTCACAACTGCACAAAGAAACCCCTTAATCTCTCATAGACGACCTTCAGAATTAGCCCTACTAACATCAAGGCCA